CCCATCTTTCTCAGTCTCCCCCCAACCCTGATGTCAGTTCTGTTTTACAACAGTGGCACTATGCTGTATTTGTCCTTTGTGACTGAGATATTTCACTCAGCATAATGTCCTCCAGGGTCATCTATTTTGAATAATATTGCATGAGTTCCTTGTTTTTCAATTCAGCATAGTATTCCATTGTGTGAATATACCTCAGTTTCTCTATCCACTCATTTGTTGATGGGCACTTAGGTTGTTTCTAACTCCTTGCTATTGTGAACAAAGCCATGATAAACATGGGTGTGCATATATCTGCTTGGGTGGCAGTTATGGTCTTTTTGAGGTATATTCCCAGTAGAGGAATTGCTGGGTCAAATGGTATCTCTATTTGCAACTTTTTGAGAAAGCGCCATACTGCCTTCCACAGTGGTTACAACCATTTTACACTCCCACCAACAGTGAATAAGGGTTCCAGTTTCTCCACAATGTTGCCAGCATTTGTTGCTTGCTGTTCTGTTAAATTTTGCTACTCTTCCTGGGGTGAGATGACATCTCATGCTTGTTTTGAAATAATACATATTTTTAACGAAGTTCTTAAGAATGTAATAACATCACAGGTGGTTAAGTCAGAAAGTGGGTGTAGGGAATTTACGTGCTAGGATCAGGCTGGCTGGAGTTGAAAGTAAGCCAGAGACTGGTCTGGGAAATTGTATATTATTAGAATCCAAAGATGAACTACTTCAGAATTCAGAGGGTAAGCCAATTTAGAAGTGATGAGCAAAGTTCAGGATCCAAGAAGCAAACTGGTATCCAGTTGACAAAGTTTAAGAAACTTGTATTATGCATTTCTTGTGTCTCAAACATTGTGCTAATTACCAAAGAGATAAATATAAAAGATATGTGGTCTTTGATATTTAGGAAATTAACATCTAGAGGAGCTGACGCCCAAATGTCCAAACTGATCATGGGCCACAGACTAGTATGGCTAATCCAAGCCAGGTATAAGAAAGAACCAAGTCCAAATAAGCATCTATCTCAGTTCCAAGACAGATTTCTAGATAAAGATAGAAAATGTTCAATGTTAAAACAGAAAGAGGATCGTGAACCCATGTACTCATGCCCCAAATTAAAAATTATCTATTTGTGGTCAGTCTTTTTTCATCCCACCACTATCCACCTCATGTCTTCTAAGGTTATTTTTTACAAAAGTCTTAGTTCTGAAAATACCCTTTTTAGACCTCAGAGAATTAACAGTAACTCCTTAAGATCATCAAATACCCAGTCACTATCTAAATTTCCATAAATTCCATATTTAAAGAGAAATTTGGTCTCTTGGTCTATTGTTTTTACTTCCCTTTTTTTACCTCCTCCTTCTTAAAGTTGATTTGTAGAAAAGAGTGGTCTGATTTTTCAGAGGAGTTCGGCTGAATTTTCAAATTGTATGCTTAATGAATTTCTCTGTACTCTGAATTTCTTGTAAACTGGAAGCTGAATTTGAAGATCTAATAAAATTTAGGTCTGTAAAAAAAAAGAAAGAAAAAGATAATAAAGGTCCGACTAGGAGACATAAATTAGAGTTTGAGGATTCCAAACCAAGAGAGAAATCTACATACGAGTTGAGCGGGAACCTGTAGTTCCAGGACAGGTCCCATCTGGTTTTCAGCTGCCTTCTAGATTGGTGTTGAGAAGGGCTAATAGCTGAGCTGTTCTTCAGAAGCAGCCTGGTCTCTGTGAGGTGCACTGGTTCTAACAAACACAGGATCCTTGCAAGAGCCCACAAAATTCAACAGACTCTCGGAAAATCTCAATAATTCAGTCCACGGACTTTTTTTTCTTCACACTAGCTCTGTGCATTATGATAGGTAGATGGAGATGAATTAGTCATTCAGAAAGTCAGTATAATGATACCATCATTAGGGATTACCTCTTACTCTCAGTTCTAAGAAATAAACATGGGGGAGGGGTAGGCAGGGAGAAAAGTACAACAATGGAAATCCAAAGTCTGTAGATTTTCATGAAAGTTAATTAAAAAAGAAATAAACATGGAAGTTGGTGACTGTAAAGTTTGTTACCTAGATTACACTCGTGGTCCAATAACAATTTTACAGAGCACCTATTGCTGTCATGTACTGCTGAGTCAGAACCAACTCACAGCTGACCCTCCACTGGGATTTCAGAGGCTGTAAATTACGTGGGAGGAGGTTACCCTTCTTTGTCCCGTGGAGCAGCTGGTCGATTTGAACCATGTACCTTTGGGTTGGCAGTGCCACTGTTTACCTCTAAACCACCAGGCCTAACAGAGCACCCAAAGGTCACTGAATCAGGCCCTGATGCTAACTAACAATTGTGCATAAAGCCTAGGGGACTTGGATCTAGTGTGGAAATAAGATGTGTAACCTGAGATAGGGGGGACCTCAGTTTGATGGGGATAACACTTGTTTATATCTGTTGTCCTGGAGGGAGCTGTAAGAGTACTCTCCTTTAATCTTCAAAAGTGTCCCAAATTGAACAACAAATTATATGGTAACTTCACTATAAAAAAACAACAACAAGCCAACACGCTCTAGGGGTAGAGTGGGGATTGCCTAATATTCTATATAGTTGGAGACTAAGAAAAACAATATAATTTGCAATTTCTTGCTAAATGTGTAAGCCCAAATAGTCTCCGTGTTAGATACTCACCCTTAACTGCCCTCTCCTAGGCCTTTTCTTCCTTCTGCCCTGCCTGGACACATACCACAAAGTTGATCTTCGCCTCCAAACCCTGGAGATTCCCTTCCATGAGGTGAGCCACAGAGTGGCATTTTCTTTCTCTACATTTTCCAAAACCTATGATTTTGGAAGCCAGGCAGCAACACTGCCCCGGGAACAAGAACTATTTATGTTTAAAAGTAGAAATGAAAAGTATCCTCGAGATTTGTCTATCACTGGCCTAGATTCACAAGCCTTTCTTGAACTGTCTCCCACTTTTCATTCAGAGGTTCTTTCACATATTTCCTTTTGGTTAGAAGAAATGTAAATAGACCCTATGTAAAACGATAGGATTCTTTTAGAATATAAGATTAAACAATACCAAGTAAAACTTAACTATTAATCATACTAAACCAAAATAGCAATTGACAGTGTTTCCTTTTAGATTTTTCTCTGTGTGTGTTTATGTGTGTGTAAAATACAATATCTATCTATCTATCTATCTATCTATCTATCTATTATCTATCTATCTATCTATCTATCTATCTATCTATCTATCTATCTATCTATTATTTTGCAGGATGCCTTTATTAATGGAATCACCTCATTGGATTAATCTTTTTTTATGTATCAGCTATGCTTCTACACCTTCTTTTTAGAAGGCCACATCAAAATTCATTGTACAGGTCTGTTGTTAATTGCCAACTCATAGAAGACATAATGCCTACAGGTGTATCATAATTTATTCAATTTTCTGTTATGGTATTGTGTTTTTAATTTTTAATTATAACAAACAATACTGTGAATAGCATTCTTGTAACTAAACCTTTGTAAATCCTTATAATCTTTTCTTGTGATCGATACTATGAGATGGAACTTCTGAGAGCGTGGGTCGTCTCAGGGCTCGGGTGTGCGCTACTGTAAAGCCCTCGCATGTGCACGCCCATGAGCAGTACATCAAATTGTTCCCAAGAATGTGATTCTCTGTTAGTAGATTATTTCATTGTTGGCATCAGTTAAAAAAAAAAACCCACCAAACATCTGAGATAGAGTCAGCATTCCAAGATGATTTTTTTCATCATTTTCCTTTACGAAAAGATTTGCAATAGGATTTCTTTAAATTTTGAGTTACTTAGTATCATTACGAAAAATACCATATTTTTAAAAAGTATGTACTTTGCCTGCCCTCCCCCGTCTGTCGCTCTATCTCTCTCTGTCTCTCTCTCCTTACTATAATCTCAAGAAAACTCCTTTGCATGCATTTAGTCTCTCCCCTCACCTGGTTAAAGACCCTGAGAATCAAGCCTGTTATCCAAACATATTTCTGCCTAGGTTGTGACCAAAGACATGTTTATAATGGAAGTAGATGCCATTTGTTACTACCGAATGGAAAACGTCTCTCTCCTGCTAAGCAGCCTTGCTCATGTGTCCAAAGCTATCCAATTCCTGGCGCAAACCACCATGAAACGTCTCCTAGCCCATCGATCCCTCACGGAAATTCTTCTTGAGAGAAAGGGCATTGCTCAAGATATAAAGGTACTGAGATTTAAAGTTGAATATGTCAAAATTATGACCTTATCTTTTATTCATTTGTTTATGGGCCATGTACTGAATCTTCCATGTGTCACACATTTACTGTTAAAGGTGTTGTCCGCTAAGGAGAAACTTAGAGCTGAGTAAGGGGAGATAATACTTGTAAGCAAATAGCTGTTTATGTGGGGCTCTGCTAAGAGTTGATAATAGAGAACATGGAAGGAGGGAGTACAAAACAAAGCTGTGTGGTCTGCTCCTCAGAGGAGCAGCATAGGAAAAAAAGAGCACTTTAAAATGAAATAGTTGCATAAAACACTCATTGCAAGTGGTTGGCACCATCTCTAAACATTTTACAAACAACCCATCTACCAGTGGATGCCCAGCTAAGGCTGGGTGGTTACCACAGTGACCCAGGGTTTTCAATCTCGCAGTGGGCAGTCACTCATTGCCACAGATTTTGCTCTCAAGCCTACTGCAGGGAATTTCAAGTCATTGTATGTAAACACACTAAGTGAAAGCCAAGTGTCAGGAGTGAGATTTGGCAAGGGTGGTGGTGCTGGTGGAGCTAGACAAGAGAAGTTGGGGGGAGACAAAGATGGTAAGATGTGGTTTCTGTGAGCTTCCTTTGAGGAAATGTTTGCCACTGAGTCAGAACCAACCTATAGCTGACCCTCTATTGGAATTTTAGAGGCAGTAAATTGCATGGGAGGAGATTATCCATCCTTCTCCCATGTAGCAGCTAGTGGATTCAAACTGTGTGCCATTGGGATTGCAGCATGGCTTCTTACACTAGGCCGCCAGAGCTCCCTTTGGGGAGGCACAGTATATAAAAATAAAGAATGAACTTTGAGTGGGAAGTTCAGATAAAAAGAGAATCAGCAATGAGACAAGTTCCAACTTGCTGGTAAAGAGCTTTGAGTTGTGAGGGATGAGATAGGGTGTGGAGATCTTGGAGTGCTAACTCTTTGCAAAGCTCTGTGCAGTTAACAAAACCCAGCCTGTGAGTAATGTCTTTGGAACAGAGTTTTCTTAGAACAGAGGCTGTCAGTGCATTCTCCCCACCCCAGAGGGCCTCACTGAGGCCTGAACGCTTCTCTCCACAGGTCGCCTTGGATTCTGTCACCTGCATTTGGGGAATCAAAGTGGAGAGAACAGAAATGTGGGTAGGAAAGGAAATAAGAAGAGAAATATTATAAAAGGAATGATGTTTTAATTGCATTTAAATTGTATTTTTAAAAAATTTTCTTTTTAACAATTATTTCTATTAAATGAGTACAACAGTTACAATAGGAAAAATTTGGGGTCGGAATCACCAATAGCTGTAACACAATCACCACTTTCATTGAACAAATTGCTTCCATCATTTTCTATGTATCAATTATATTTTTTTATTGAGATAGAATTCACACAACATAAAAAGAATAATTTTTATAATTTCTTAAAAATTTTATTATTTAATTAATTTTAATGAACATTTACAGAGATTTTGGATTTCCATTCATTCATTGTTGCATTTTTCTCCCTGCCCACCCCTCCCCCCAAGTTCGCTCTTCTCTTTGAAAAATAAAAGAAACATTCTTTCATTGATCTACAATCCCCACCCCCAAGTACACTCCACTATGCAACAATACTCCACTCAATGCTTTTCAGTCTATTCAGAGTACTGCCACCATCTCCACAATCTTAGAATATTTTAATCATCTCAGAAAGAAACCCAGTCCTCATTAAACAGTCACTCCTTACCTGCTCCCTCCCTGCAGTCCCTGGCTACACTAACCCACTTTGCTTCTCACTGGAGTTACCTTACAAATGCAATCGGGCAGTATATGGTCTCTGTGCCTGGTTTCTTTCACACGTAGCACAATATTTTCAAGATTTACCCCTCTGATGCTGGCTATAGTCCAGTGGTTGAATAGTATTTGACTTAATAAGTATACAGCCACATCCTTTCATAAATTCATCAATTGACATACATTTGGATAGTTTTCTATTTTGAGCTATTACAAACACTGCTGCTATGCACATTCATGTAGAAACTTTTCAAACTGACTTGTGTGTGTTAGGAAGCAGGAGTGGCATCCAGAAAATCTATGAACTTTGATAAATGTCGATAGTTGTAGAGAGGCTTCAGGCCATTTGTTCACTGGGTCGCTATGAGTCATGCTCAACTTGAAGGCAATTGACAACATATATATATATATGTATGTATGTGTGTGTGTGTGTGTATATATATATATTTAAATGTTGTTATGTACCATTGAGCTGGGACTGAGTCATAACCGACCCTCCAGCAGGTTTTCAGAGGTAGTAAATCACACAGGAGGAGACTGCCCACCTTTCTCCCATGGAGCAGCTGTGGATTTGAACCAGCTTGTCTTTTGGTTGGTAGCACAACTCCTTACCACTAAACCACCAGAGTGCCCATATGTGTGTATATGTATATGTATATGTATATGTATATGTATATGTATATGTATATGTATATGTTGTTATGATGTGCATGGAATCAGAATTAACTCATAGCTCATAGCTGACCCTCCAGTGGGTTTTCAGAGGCTGTAAATCACTCAACAGGAGATTGCCCTTGCAGCTACTGGTGGATTTAAACTGCTTGCCATTGGGTTGGTAGCATAACTCTTTACCCCTGTTGTTATTGTGAGCCGCTAAGTCTGACTCAACCCATAGCTGACCCTCCTGTGAGTTTTCAGAGGCAGTAAAGTGCATGGGAGGAGACTGCCCATCCTTTTCCTGCAGAGCAACTGGGAGATTAGAACTGTGTCTTTGGGATTGCAGTGCAGCTTCTCTTTTTTAAAGTGCAGCTTCTTATCACTAGGCCACTAGTGTTCCCTCTTTACCCACTAGGCCACTAAAACATATAGATAAATAGATAGATAGATAATAGAGAACACACACACACACACATATTGCCCCTTGAAATGAAATTGTTTAATGATATACTTTGGTAACTGTTTAACTTTTTGAGGAATTACCAAACTTTTTCTTTGTATACATTTTCCATGTATATATGGTATGCATATAATTTTATATCATTATTCAAAATATCCAGTATTGCTCTCATTTAGCCACCGGTGGCTTGTGGTAAAAAGCTACACTGCCAACCCAGATGCAAACTGAATTCAGCAGCTTCCCTATGGGAGAAAGAGGCAATTTCCCATGAGACTTACAGCCTCTAAAAATCTGTAGGAGAGTCAGTTATGAGTTGGTTCTGACTTGGATGTAATGACAATAACAACCATCATTTCCAAAATCAATTCTTTTGTAAACTTAAATGAGTTCCTGTATTCAATTCTGAATAGTATGGCTTTTCAAAGTTGTTTTTCTACTATTTTAATTTCATAGGTGGTATTTAGGTTAAAATGTAATTGACTAAACATCAACATGGAATTTTTTTGTGTGCGTATGAGGAGAGCCCCACAACTCTGGATAGCATCAGCTCTATGTAACACAAATTGGCATTTGAGGGCTTTGAGATGCTGTTGTCTGTCCACCTCTCACTTTAGAGGCCCAGGGATGGTATACTCTGGTAAATCACAATTTGCTTTTCATCATGAAACACTAGTAGAGAGGTTTGCAAGTCTGTATGAAATCACTGGCAGGTAAATACCACTGCAGCTCACAACATGTCTATGTCTCCCTTTTCCAGTAAGGATGTGAGGTTGCCAGCGGGGCTTCAGCACTCACTGGCTGTGGAAGCAGAAGCTCAAAGACAGGCCAAAGTACGGGTGAGCCAGCAATCAGTCCTTCCGCCAATGCTGCTCTGTGAGGATGAGAGGTCTACAAGAAGGCATGCTCCTGGAGAACACGAACACATCAACTTGACCTCCCTGCCTCCAGTTACCCAGCCTGCTGAAAGGACTCTGTCTTGCTAATAGCCTCCTAACTGACAAGTGCATAGACCTCTTGTCATGTTACAGCCTCTCTTTGACACAGTGGACATCAGCAATCACCTCTGCCTTCATTCCTTCCTCTCTCTAAAGACATCTTTCTGTTCTTATTTCCTCTTCTTGGGCATCTTCTGTGGGCAATCAAAATTCACCTCTAGATTAAGGAGACCCACATCTATCTCTTTAGGTCTGAGCTAACTCTGGAGGGACAATCATGACTAGGGCCCCAAATTCCAACAAGGGTCAGGTTTAAGAGAGAAGGCTGTGCTACCCATAGCATCTACTCAAGGATGCCAGTGTGACCTAATGATCTGGCTGATAGCAGCAACTCAGGTTTGAGGTGTGGTAGAGTGGAATTTTGCAAAGAAAGAAAAGAGCAATGAAAGGAACGTAGACTGCTTTCAAAGAACAGAAAATAGGTGAGAAATGCTCCTTAATCAGTTGTCGTTATGTGCTGTCGAGTTGCATATCCACAATAGCTCTGAACCCTGCTCTAACCTGGGCCAATCTCACTGTCCCTGACACAGCTAACCTCATAACCCATGTTAATGTATCAATAAATCTTTATCCAGGGTCTTCCCCTCCTGTACTGTCCTTCTACCTTTCCAAGCATGATGTCCTTCTCCAAAGACTGGTCCCTCCTGGTCACATGCCCAAAGTATGTATGACAGCACTTCAAAATCCATGCTTCGAGGGAGCAGCTTGGCTTCACCCTCTCCAGGACAGACCTGTTAGTTCTCTTGGCACTCCATGGTATGTTCAGTACTGTTCTCCAGGACCACAACTCAAAGGCATAAATTCTTCTTTGTCCTGTTGGATCCTTCCCTTGCTCTCTGATGTATAACAGACAATTGTAAACACCATGGAACCTGGATCAGGCACACCTTAGTCTCTAGACTGACACTGTTGCTCTTTAGCACCCTGATAGTAGAGTTTCCTAATGCAATTCATTTTTTGAATCCCTGGCTGCTGATACCAAGAGTGTTGATTGTGGACACAAGCAAGCTGAACTTGTTAACAGTCTCAATCTCTTCTCCATCTATCATGATGCTGCCAATTGGCCCAGAATCTTTGGTGAGAATCATTGTTTTCTTGATATTGAGCTTCAGTCTGTATTGCAGACTACAGCAGAAAATTACTCTCGGCAGCAAATGCTTCAGGCCCTCCTCAGTTTCAGCAAGCAAGACTGTTGTTATTGTTGTTATGTGTTGTCAAGTACATCTTTCAGTGAACAACAGATTTGAACTTTGTCCTATCCTGTGCCATCCTCACAGTCTCTGACACACTTGAGCCCATTGCTGCACTTACTGTGTCAGTCCACCTAGTTGATGGTCTCTCCTTCATCATCTTTCTACCTTTTGTTTATTTGTTTTTTTGTTTTGTTAAATTTTATTTTATTATTTTTTTGTGTGTGTACCATTAAATCAGATCTGACTGGTACAGGAGGAGATTGTCCCTCCTTCCCCAGCAGAGCATCTGGTGGATTCGAACCACGCACCTCTGGGATTTTAGAATCTTGCAACTAGGCCACCAGCCTTGCCATCTTTCTACCTTTTCAAGCATAATGTTCCTCTCCAAGGAATAACCTCTCTTAGAAACATGCCCAGAGTATGTGAGATGAGACTTTATCATCCTTACCTCCAAGGATCACTCTAGCTACACTTTCTCCAAGACATATCTGTTTGTTCTTTGGCAGTCCGTGGGATACTCAGTACTCTTCTCTGACACCACAGTTCAAAAGCATCAATTCTTCTGTCATTTATTGTCCAGCTCCCAGATGTATATCAAGTGAATGAATCAGGCACATCTTAGTCTTCAAATTGATATCATTGCTCCTCAGTAATTTGGAAAAGTCTCTGACAACGGACTTTGCTTTGCATCTGTTATTGTTGTTGTTAGGTGCCTCAGCAACCCTATGATCATCAGCTGTGAACCCTGTCCTATCCTATGCCATCATCACCATCTTCAGCATACTCAAGCCCATTGCTCCAGTCACTATGTCAGTCCACCTGGTTAGGGATCTTCCCCTCTTTCGCTGTCTTTCCACCTTCCCAAGCATGATGTCCATTTCTAAGGTTTACCTTGGAAATAGCCTTTCCTAGCAACGTACCCTAAGTATGTGAGATGAAGCTACATCATCTTTGCCTCTAAGGAGCACTCTGGCTGCACTTTCTCTAAGATATATGTTTGTCCTTTTGGCAGTCCATGGGATATTCAGTACTTGTCTCCAATACCACAGCTCAAAGGCATCAGTTCTTCTGACATTGTCTAGTTCTTAGTGATTGAAAATACCATGACCTGAATCAGGTATACCTTACTCCTCAAACTAACATCATTGCTCTTCAAAAAATTTGGAGAGATCCCTGACTGTAGACTTTGCCAGTGCAATACATCTTCTGATCTCCTATTAGTACAAAGCATACTGATTGTGGACCCAAGTAAGAGGAAGGCATTGACAGTTTCAATTTTTCATATCTTTCAAGACATTGCCTATCAGTCCAGTGGTGAGAATTTAGTTTTCCTGATATTGAAATGCAATCAGTATTGAAGGTTACAGTCTGATCTTCTGCAGAACGCACTTCAACTCCTCCTCATTTTCAACAAAGTTGGGTCATCTGCCTAAGGATGGTTATGGATTAGCCTTCCTCCAATCCCAGTGCCACATTCTTCTTCATATGGTCCAGCTTCTTGGATAATTCACTCAGCGTACAGTGCACGTAGGGATAGCCACATAGGGAAAATCAATAACTTTGGGGCATTGAAGCAGGGTTGCGAGGAGGGAAAAGAGGCAGGTAATGCGCTGGACAGGATTATTAATAGACTTCCGAGCCTAGTCTCATTCGTCCCCTATAAGGTGGCACTTAGGGGATAAGCTTGACTCTTCCTCTTCTAACATGTTTACTTATGTATTTTGCCCAAGTTGGGAGCCACCCTTTCTTGATTCCATGCTTTGACCTGCAATGCTAGCCTGCCTTTTCCTGTATATCCTCTGGGTGTGATTAATAACATACATAACTCTTCATTTATGCCTGTCAGGATCTTTAACAAAAATCTGCCCTGTATTATGGTAGATAGTATAATCTAGATGAAATCCCTGAGGAGGAAGGTTTCATCTCTTTTCCTTTACCTCCTGTGCTAAAGGGTGTCTGCCACACAATAGATGCTTTGTGTTGGTTGAGTTCAACGAAATGGGAATTAAGAGTTTAACAGAATTAAATGAAAATCAGTTTGCTTTTCTCCTGTGTGTTCTCTAGATGATTGCTGCAGAAGGGGAGAAGGCTGCCTCTGAGTCTCTGAGGATGGCAGCAGAGATTCTGTCAGGGACCCCAGCCGCTGTGCAGCTCCGATACCTCCACACCCTTCAAGCTTTGTCCACAGAGAAACCTTCCACTGTGGTCTTACCTCTGCCATTTGACCTGCTAAACTGCCTGTCTTCTCCCAGCAACAGAACTCAAGGAAGTATTCCCCTTCCACATTCTTCAAAATCCTTTGAGCCACTGAATCCTAAAAAGAAAGACTCTCCCATGTTATAGGGAAGGCCAAAGGCGTGTAAAAGGGCCTTTCCTATAAAAGCCCCTTCACTGAGTGGGGCACTTTGTCCTCCGTAGGAACTAACTGCAGCAGATCATTTTAGACTAATAAATTAATAAATCTAAAGCAAACGAGCTCTGGTGGCCTAATAGTAAGAAGCTGTGCTGCCCACCCGAAGACATGTGGTTCAAATTCAGGATGGAAGGATGGGCAAATTAATGCCTCTGAAACCCCCCTCCAAGGGTCAGCTATGGGTTCGGTTTGCCTCAACTGTACACAGCAGCAATAAAGCAAGGATGGTGGTGAGTTTCATGACAATACGGCTGCTTGAGTATATGCTTCCACACAGTTGGGTGCAGTGTTGTCTGTCCCTGGAGGAAGTAATTCTACCCAAATCATATCTTCCAATCTCCTTTGAAAAACAAAACACAGCTGTGTTTAGGGAGTCATTCTGTTCATGTCCATCAGGAGGGAAAAAGGCAGATTGTGGTACATTAAGATTTTAGACAACCGCGCGCATACACTCACAGAGACAGAAAACAGAAAGGACGAAAGAACAAAAGAAAAAAAAGAAAGGATAAAGACGAAGGAGACTAGAGTCAAAGGAGGATAGAGATGCAAGAGGCTATGGAGAAAGAAAGAGGTAGAAGGAGAGTGAGAAAGGTGGATGAAAAGAAAGGAGGATAGAAAAAAAGGGTAATAACAAAGGAGGAGAGAAGAAAGGAGAACAGAAGAAAGGGTGATAGTAAAAATGGAAGAGAGCTAGAAGAGAGGATAAAAAAATGAAGATAAAAGGAAGGGAGGATAGTAAAAAAATAGAAAAAAGAGGGAGAGTAAAAATAGAGGTTAGAAAGAAAGGAGGACGGTGGAAAAAAGAGGATAGAAAGGGGGATGGTGAAAAAGGAGGATGGAAAGAAAGGGGGATGGTGAAAAAGAAAGAAAGGATAAAAAAAGAAGGAAGAAAAAAGTACATTAGAAAGTGGTACAGAAAGTAAGAACAAAAGTAAAAAAGTAAGAAGGCAGGAAGGAACAAAGGGAGGAAGAAAAGAAGGAAAGCAGGAAGGAAGGAACAAGTACAGAAGGAAACAAAGAAATGAAGAGTGAAAGAGACCTGACTCTGAGTCTACCTAATCTTGACCCAGATCCTAACTAAGCCTGCATCTGAGGCTAACTAAATCTCACGGTGTACCTAAAAGCAACTCCTAATTAAGTCTGACTCCAAGGCTACTAGGCCTCACTCTGAGGCTAACTAGGCCCTATTCTGAGCCTAACTAAGCAGCACTAGTGCCCACTATCACCATAAGTAGGCCTGACTTCGAGCCTAACTAGGCCTGACTCCAAGTTTAACAAAAACCGACTCTTAGACTAACTAGGCCTGACTCTGAGCCTAACTATACCTGACTCCAAGTTTAACAAAACCTGACTCTGAGCCTAACTAAGCCTGACTCTGAGCCTAACTGAAACTCACTGTATACCTAAGACCAAATCCGACCGTAACTAAGCTGGACTCCAAGCCAAACTAGGAGCTACTCTGCACCTAACTAGGCCTGACTGCGACTCTAAGAAAACTTGACTCTGATTTTAACTAAACCTGACTCCAATCCTAACTAGGCCTGATTCCGAGTCTAATAAAACTCGACTCTGGGCCTAATTAATCCTGACTTTGGGCCTAATTAAATCTCAGTGTATGTCTAAGCCCAACTCCTAACATAACTAAGCTCAACTCCAAGGCAAACTAGGAACTACTCTGCACCTAACTAAGCCTGACTCCAAGTCTAACTAGGCCTGACTCCTAGGCGAACTCCAAGCCTAACTAGGCCTGACTCCTAGGCGAACTCCAAGCCTAACTAGGCCTGACTCCTAGGCGAACATAACTCGACTCTGAGCCTAAGACTGACTCTGGGCCTAACTGAAACTTACTGTATACCTAAGCCCAACTCCTAACCTAACTAAGCTTGACTCCAAGCCAAACTAGGAACTCTGCTGTACCTAACTTGGACTGACTCCAAGTCTAACAAAACCTGACTCTGAGCTGAACTCAGCCTGACTCCGAGCCTAAGTACGCCTGACTCCAAGCCTAACAAGGCCTGACACTGAATCTAACAAAACTCTACTCTGAGCTTAACTAAGCCTGACTGTGAGCCTAACGTGGCCTGACTCCAAGCCTAACGAGAATTGACTCCGAGTCTAACAAAAGTCGACTCTGAGCCTAACTAAGCCTGACTCCCAGCCTCACTAGGCCTGACTCCAAGCCTAACTAGGCCTGACTCGGAGTCTAACAAAAGTCGACTCTGAGCCTAACTAACCCTGACTCTGGGTATAATTAAACTCAGTGTATACCTAAGAACAGTTCCTACCCTAACTTAGCTTGAGTCCAAACCAAACTAGGAACTACTGTGTGCCTAACTAGGCCTGTCCGAGTCTAACAAAACTCGACTCTGAGCCTAACTAAGCCTGACTCTGAGCCTAACTCAATGTGCCTCAGAGCGGCTCCTCTGCTCTGTCCCCTCCTCTGGGGGCCCACTGCCAAACGTGGAGAGTGTGTCAGGCCCTTCAGGAGGCCTCTCTTCCTACTCCCCTACAGACCTTTCTACACACACCCTGGGCTTCTGGCACTAGACAAAGCAGCTACCCCTTGAGCCTGCCAAGATGGAGTGCGCCCCCACAAAGCCTGCGGGGGAAGCGCAAGCTGGAGGGTCTCTGGCTCCCGTCAGAAACTCCTTCATTTTATTCCCAGCTAGGTTTCTTTTTTTTTTAAATTTAGGTTGTTTATTTTTTCATTTCAATGAACATCTACAGAGATTTTGGAATTCCATTCATTCATTGCTGCACCCTTCTCCCCGCACAAACCCCTCCCCCCTCC